ATATATATACGTGTGTGTGGGTGCGTGTGTGCTTAGTAGTCAGGATATTGAAATAGCTGCAACGGCACTTCATAATTACCGCATGTGACACAGTTTTCGCATAGTAAAAATAACAAGGCACACACATGCACACATACAAAGCAAATTCTAATATTAACACCGCAGTCGCGTGAATAAACGCACTCAGCCAAGGTATGCATTTATTAAATGCATGTGTGTGAGTGTGTGTATGCATTTCAGTGTATGTGTGCGTATTTGGATGTATGTGTTTGTATTTGTACGTGCATGCACTTGCTTGCGGGTTGGTGCTGCATTCAGCAGCGATTTCCTTGGAGAATGCTTTGTATAAACACACAAACATTCACACTCACACACAAATATACATGCAATATGAAGCTAAAATGTTTGTATGTGCAAAATGTAAGGAGCTACGTACGTGCCGGAAGCGCAAATTCCACTTCCTTAAATCGCTTGCAGTGAGTTGTACTCCTGTCCGGCTCTCCAAGTGCTTGTAGTTGCTTTTTATTCAATTTTTTTTTTTTTTTGCTTATTATTTTCTTTTTGTTTTTACTGTACACTTTTCACTTTTACTGCTGCTTGGCTGCTATGGCGATGCCTTTGCGCTTATTCTTTAATTAACTTTATTTTCACGATTTTTTGTAATTTTTTTTTTAATTTTAGCAAATTTTATGTTGTAATTGTATTAATTTCTGGCAATCATTATTTTTTTCTTCTTTAGCACACACACACCCGACACGACTGTAATTATGCGGTAACGATTTGCTGCAGCCACACATTCCCATTTATATATTATATAATATAAATATATCGATAAATATGTATATTTATATATCATATATCACTTGAACTCAGTCCACAATTGGATCAGTAAAACTTCGCTAAATAAAAATAAATAAGATTTTGACATGTTTGATTGATATGCGCAAGAAATAAAAAAACCAAAATAAAAATTACGAAAGAACTGTAAAAATCATGCACGAGTGGTGTCGATTGAATTACAGTTGCACAGCATATGTACATATTGCAAAAACACACACATACGCATTTTGTCATGGAATTCTATCGAATGTCGAATGTAGCAAGAATGTGATTTTAATTTAGAACTTGTCTGATGAATTTTTTATTTCTTTGAATAAGTTATTTTTGATCATTTGGCTTTTATTGGTAATATATGTAGTCACCATTATTTATTTTATTTTATGTTATGCTATACGATTATTTTAGTGTATGTTAATTCTGTCTCTTATACACATCTAGATGTGTATAAGAAATAAATTTAAAGTTATTAA